CTTGCCCCCCTTCCCCTGGTTCTCTGTCACCGCCGGACTCGGCCGGTTCGGGCATCGCGCTGCCTCCCGCCGCTTGGAGTTATGCAAATGAAGGCTCCAGTCCGCGCCCGTCCATTGGCTGGGATATCCCCGCAGAGGGCCTCCGGTCCTGCCACTAAAGCAGCTCCAAAGCCTGCACGCTGATTGGTCGCTGCTACATTCGCTCAGCCAATAGCTGCGCGTTGTTTGGATCCCCACCTTTCGAGCGGCGCTGCTCCAGCGCTGCTGGCAGGCGGAGCGGGAAGCGGGCTCAAGCCTCGCTCCAGCGAGACCCGGAATACGAGCAAACAGTTGTACGATCCAAACCCAGGAAGAACGCGGTCCAGTTCATCTCTGTTCTAGCTAACAGCGTTGAAAATAGCACGCCGGTGTCGTTCCCCACTCAACCACCACAGCCCTAAGCATCCGCTAACGACACGTTTTATGTTTCTCCCTGTTTTTTATAAAGTCATTGCATTTTAACAATCCAGAAAATCCTCAGTTTTGCTTTACGAAAACCAGTCTATCGTAAGTAAGCACCTCACAAGAAAACCCACCGAACCTACAAGGAATAAAAGCTAAAGCAGAGCGTATCCCCCCCTCCATGTAGATGCCGATCTGGAGCGCAGCACACACCCACAGCAACAAACCCCTTTCCTCGACCTGCGTAAGGAGAAAATTATCTTGGCGAGCCCGCACCTCTCCCACCCACAACACACGGCCCCAAGGCCCAGTCCCGCCCACAACGTTTATAAAGTCTCAAGTCGGACCAGAGGGAAACCTGCGCTGCAACTCCCTGCGCGCAGCATTCTTCCCCCCCCCCACCGGTGACGTTCGCGTCCACCCGAACCAATCAGAGAGGGGCAACGGTTTGAAGGCGAAAGCGGCATCACGAGAAACTAACCCCGAGCAGGGATGGCTGCGGGTGTCCTAGGCAGAGGGAAAAAACCCTTAAAACTACTGCCCAGAAACTGCGTTTTGTTAAAATACACGAAAATGATCCATTTTAAAGACAGCTTTTAAAACGTCCAGCAGCTACCCCAACCCCACACGCGATGTACAAACCGGTTACGATCCTCAAAAACACGAGAAAAAGGAGCATCTCGGTAGCAATATCAGCTCTTTGCTAGGAAGGTGGGTGGCTCTGAAAAGAGCCGTTGGGTCGTGTTGAGCCGGGCGGGTTCCTACAGCCGGGTTCGGACGCTTTACTTGGAGCTGGTGTACTTGGTGACGGCCTTGGTCCCCTCGGAGACGGCGTGCTTGGCCAGCTCGCCGGGCAACAGGAGCCGGACAGCCGTCTGGATCTCCCGCGAGGTGATGGTGGAGCGCTTGTTGTAGTGGGCCAGGCGGGACGCCTCGCCGGCGATGCGCTCGAAGATATCGTTGACGAAGGAATTCATGATGCCCATGGCCTTCGAAGAAATACCGGTGTCGGGGTGCACCTGCTTCAGGACCTTGTACACGTAGATGGAGTAGCTCTCCTTGCGGCTGCGTCGCCGCTTCTTGTCACCCTTCTTCTGGGTCTTTGTCACCGCCTTCTTAGAGCCCTTCTTAGGGGCGGGAGCCGACTTGGCCGGGTCGGGCATCGCGCTCCACGCTACAGCCGCCTCAGCCGCCGCTACCGCCAGCGACTGAAGCGGGCGGCGCCGCTTTTATACCGGCTTTATGCAAATGAGGGAATCAAACCCCACACACTCCTATTGGCTGAGACGGCGCACGGCGCCCCGTGAGGAGACACCCTGCGCATGCAAATATA